TCCTGTTGACTGTTCCTTTGCTTCACCTCTGACCTTTCTGTCGTTTATCATTTTTCTCACTGGTTGATAGGTCGGGTTAATGTCTATACATCTATTGATTGCTGACTAACTGACCTGAATACCAAGCTTCTAGGATAATTATGGACATGAATTCAGTTTTGACAATGTAGAAATTTTGGACAGAGGAAACACAAAAAATATCAGAGAACTCCTGGAAGCTTGGCATTCAGGTCAGTCAGTCAGCAATCAATAGATGTATAGACATGACCCAACCTACCAACCAATGGGGAAAGTCATAAATGACAGAAAGGTCAGAGGTGAAGCAGAGGAACAGCTAACATAAAAATCGATACAGTCGATGACACGACAATCAAAGGAAACAATCAATCAGAGGCCACATCGTCAGATCAAGCTACTAAATCACTACTGACGGAGAGATATTGACAGCTCACTTCATACTGAAGTTAGTGCTGATGATGTCGTGTAGAAGGACGATGAAAGCTTTAGGACTAAACAACCCAGCCAGCTCAGAGAACACAATATAACTAAGACTTTCAGTCATTTCCTTACCTATCTACCTATAGATATTTATTCTTGTTTTTTGTTCTCTTAAGAGATAGAGAACTATTTGTTGATTCGCTGTTTCTTTCAATTCTATGGTGATATTAAGAAGGAAGGGCTAAGGTTGAATCGTAGCAAGAGGTTTATTATGGTATTTTATACACTACTGATGAAATATTTTAACCCTCCTATTGAAATATCAGTTTGCATAATATACTTCAGTTCTTCTTCTTCTCTCTCGTTTTGCTCTTGATACGGCCACTCCATCTTTTGCGTTTCTTTGAGTAAAATATTTACCCATCTCTGGTAATTTCTGTGACTTCTTCTGACCTCTTAATATATACTACTGACATGCATTCTTATCAGTAGTCAGCTGTTATGGAAGAAGAAATAGAAGTCTTTGAATTCATGTTAAGTATCAAACTTCTTCTTTCACAGCCTCATTGGATACATACATCTCAGTTTGATGTATGTTCACTTCTACTTGAATGCACTCGTCTCTTTAAGGATGGGAAGCAGATTGGCACATTTCCTTATAAATGTGTTCGCTGTCACAAGATTAAGCTGATATAATACCGTTAATAACTAAATGATGGCATAAAAATCACAGATGAAGTCAGTGACTACTTCTCTGAGCTGTATTGGTGAGTTTTGGTTTATCTGTTTGAATATCCGAGTTATATGTTGAGTGATGATTGAAGATGAAATGAAAATATGGGCCGCAGCAGGATTCAAACTACCTTGAGATCCTGGTTACCGATGTGGCATGACCTCGCTCACTTGGTAGAGCACTGGGCCGGTAACTCGAAGGTTACTGGTTGAATCCTCCAATCATCACAGAGTATAAGAGTTTGAGATGTTTTCTTTGAAATCCTCAAGATGTTAAGAATAAATGCTTATCCTCCTATAGTTTGGCAAAAAATGAAAGATAGATGTATCAAAGTTTCTAGTGTAAAATATATTCACCAATTTGTACTCAACAGGGCTTTAAATCATAATAGTTTGATAAATAATAAATGAATTCAGAAGTTTGTAGGTATCTAGTGATTTTTCAAGTTGGTATTCATCAATTGGAGAAACTTTGGAAACCTGGGAGTATTAGACAGCTGTTTCTTCGTAGTATGAAACTCTTCAGCAGTGTACACCCATGAACGAACCCCATCAGGGATCGATCCCAGCCCCTTCAAATTTCGTGGTCAGCACTTTACTGTTGAGCCGCTGGTTGGAATCAAATGGTCCATATTTACAACTTTTGTCAGTTCATGAGATAGTGTGACCATCACTCGAGGTCATCGTTGAGTATTTGTCCCCACGACCACGAAGTTTGCCCCACCGGTCATGACCGCTAAATTACGACTCAGTGGCTCAGCGGTAACGTGCTAGGCACGGAACCTGAAGGTCCTTAGTTCGGTGCCTAATATGGTCATGGGTGCGCACTGCTGAGGAGTCCATACTAGGACGAAACAGCTATCCAGTGCTCTCGGGTTTCCAATTTTCCTTCAACTGATGTCAGTTCTTGATGAATACCAAGTTGAAAAATAGTAAATGACCCAAAGAAATATGTATATTGAAAAAGCTAATCCTAAGACAATCAATCTAGTGGAGAATATTTGTAGCTCAGATAAATGGTCTTGGTTGTATTGTGTTCTCCGAGCAAGGTTGTTTAATCGTGAAGCTTTCATCCCCGCACTAGACGACATCAGCAGTACTAACTTCATTATAAGGTGAGTTGTCAATATCTCTCCGTGAGTGGTTTAGTGGCTTGCTCTGATATGGTCTGTGATTGGCTGTTTCCTTCGATTGTTGTGTCATTGACTGTATCAATTTTGCTGTTAGCTGTTCCTCCACTTTACTCTGACCTTTCTGTCGTTTATCATTAGTTGGTTGGTTGTTGTTGGCTCACGAACCAACAAAATTACCTCCAAATACTATTATGCAGACCAAAGGATGCAACAACCAAGGAAGACAAGCCGGATATCATTTAGAAAACCAACTACGATAACTGTATTCAACACTACACTGGACAAAGTGGTCGCCATCTTCGCCTTCGTCATTTACATGAACACCAGTTGGCTATTAAACGTCATATATGACATTTCATCACTCATTTCAATGCACGTGGATAATAACCATGGACATGAATTCAATTTGGACAATGTAAAAATCTTGAACGAAGAGAGGAAACACAAAGAATATCAGAGAATTCCTAAACGTTTGGCATTCACGTCAGTCAGTCAGTCAGTTGGCAATCAATAGATGTATAGACATAGACCCGATCTATCAACCAGTGAGAAAATGATAAACGACAGAAAGGTGAGAGGTGAAGCAGAGGAACAGTCAACAGGAAAGTCCATACAATCAATGACACAACAATCAAAGGAAACAACCAATCACAGACCACATCGTCAGAGTAAACTACTAAATTACTCATGGAGAGATTGACAGCTCACTTCACACTGAAGTTAATGCTGGATGATGTCGTCTAGCAAGGCGATGAAAGCTTACGATTAAACAACCCAGCCAGCTCAGAGAACACAATACAACCGAGACAATCAATCTACAATGTTGACTTGTAACTGAATCATTTTCTTTAATATATCCCACAGTTATCAGATAATCATATAAATTCGATTGGTTGAACTGCTTTAAAAAGCCCTTTGATATCGTTTTTACCTGACTAGAAATAATGGTTGTATATTTAAGAGATTTATTTCAGATTTAGTTACTTATTATGTAGTTCAAATTTGTCTTTTTTAGCAAAGCGAAAAGAAATACTAATTAACTTTAAGAAAATAAGGAAGATGTTTTAGTTGTTCTACTTGGTGTTTCGTCATCAAATTAGTTGGTTTCATCATCCCATATTTCAAGTTTTTTAACAGTTTCGATAGAGTTTAATGGAGATAATTTTCTTGGAGATTCAGTTGATTTACTTACATGACTTCGACTGACTAGTTTCACGAAATGCCTATCAAGACTACGCTTAATTCCTGAATATTTTCAACAAAACTTAGGGAATGATGATTTGAAGTCGTTAGGAACTAACTATCTAACAAACAGTTAGACAGATAAATCATATATACTAGATGATGATTGAAGGTGAGATGAAAATCTACATCACGGTTTGATTCAAACCAGCGACCATCGGTTACCGGCCCAGTGCTCTTCTCTACCAACTCACCTACGAGGTCCGACTACTCACCGTACTCTTTATTTCACTTCAATCACCAAGTAGTTTGCTCGACGACTACCATGTAAATTCGTGACATGTTACTACCCCTTGATCGTATTCACACTGATTGTCTAGTCAGGACTTTTCATCCCAATCTAAATGTAAGTGAATTAGAGAGGGGAAGCATTATATTGATTATCATTTGACTATCTGAGTGTGAGATAGCCGTAGTTCTGTAGACTAGTATTTATACTGGGTGATGATTGAAGGTGAAGTGAAAATTTGGACCGTGGGCGAATTCAAACTAGCGACCACCGGTTTACCGGCTCATTGCTCTACCAAGTGAACTACGAGGCCCAACTGCTGACCATACTTTTTATTTCACTTCAATCACCAAGAGTTTTGCTGGACGACTACCATGTGAATTCATGATGCGTTACTATCGCTTTACGAGTACGAGAATTGGGTAGAATAAAACTAATCTTAAGTTGCACAAAAGTACATGACTTGGGATAGGAGATTTCAAAGATAAAAAAAGACTGTACACATTAATTATTATCGTCTTGAGTAAATCAGTCAGATAGTCTACACCCCACTACATAGCTCAGACTATGAAATGGTACCACTTTTTGTTCAGGTTACCCTTAGCCTTCTTCTAACCGAACCTATTTTAGCTAGCATTATACGTTGAAGTAGACAGTGGCTTATCATACGAAAAATACATCTAATCCATTTCAGTTTACAACTTCATCGACTAACTTTCCTTTCCTAGTACCCTATGAGTAACTATAACGTTGCTCACATGGATCAATGCTAAAAAGATACATGTGATTGAAAATCATCTCCAGACTACTTTTTATAAAAGTGTTTCTAATAGTAACCTGTTCGAGTTTATTATCTAAGATTTCTTTGCATTTTACTATTCATAGATGAATACCAGAAAATTTTTATTCCAACCACAATAATTCAGTATATTATTTAAGCAATAATTGTATATATAGTTCACTGTAAGACTTACATACTGCTACAATTACTCTCCTGACGGATTAGTTTTTGCAAAATGCGGGTACCAGTATTTTATCAACTAAAAGTTGTTTGTTTTTTCTATTTTATAGATGCAAACATCCATAAATTTACTTTGTAATTTCCAAACCATTTTATTTTTGTTTCATGCTGTGAAATAGTTTTGAATATTTGTTACCAAAACATTATATACTACTTATTTTTTCGTTTGAATTAGTAGTATACACTGCTCATTATTTTTTTATAGAATCTTAAACATATTCTAAAAAACTTTATTAAACCTGATCAACCAGAAATGAATCGTCAATTTGATTTTATTATTCAAAGATTAAATTCATGTAAGTTTTCATATTTTTGGAATAAGTTTTTAATTCGGTTTTAATGTTATTCATGATGAAAAATGTTTAAATGACTATCTTGCTACAATGAACCTAAATACATTTTCAGAATCTACATATCTGTAACTGACTTCAAGTGAATGTAGAGAAGACAGAGGTGATGAAGATACCCAACCAACACCCCCACCACCACCACCAACAACAAGCTCCAGTCACCATCCACAAGAGAAACTTAAAGGAAGTAGCCTCTTTCACCTACCTGTCTAGGCAGCACTATTTCAACTACAGGTGGAACAGGAACAGATGAGGACGTCAAAGCAGCCAGGATCGAAAACACAGCAAGACAGGCTTTCACTAACCTGAAACCAATGTGGAGATCTTCTGCACTCAGCATGAAGTGTGAACAACATCCAGATTTTCAACAATAACGTCAGTCAAGTCAGTGCTTCTGTATGGCTCAGAGACTTGGCGCGTTTCGAAAGGGATTTCCAACAAACTACAGACATTCATCAATAGCTGCTGTCTACGCCGGCTTGATACTGAAGATCGGATGGATTGCCAGAATAATAAGAATAAGCAACAAGGAGCTCTGGTTAGCTGTGAATGAACCAACCATGAACTTATCGCTGAACAAATATGCGTAGGAAGGAAGTGGAGGTGGATTGGGCATATACTGAGAAGGCCGACTGGGGACATCACGCATCAGGCCACACCCTCGAGGGAGCTCAAATAGGAAACGGTGAGCTGGACGTCCGAGGGTGACATGGAGGAGATGGTGTGAGGAAGCAACGAGAGCTTGTAGGCTGTCGTGGAACCAGGTTTAAACGTTTGCAGAGAACAGAGTGTACTGCAGACGTGCTACTGAAGCCCTATGTTCCATTAGGAACCCAAGGAACAAATAAGAATAATAGTATCTGTAACTATTCAGAGTTTACTTAAGGTTCCAGAATGCTGAACACTCGAAGAAAATGATTTAGGTATAGTGCTTGAGTTTTTCTGTTAGAACTTTACCCCCGCCTCGATTCCTCGGGATACATGCATCTTGAATAGTAATTCAACCTATTTCGTATTGTGCTTACCTAAAATCGGTATATAATCAACTTTACTAAGAAGATGTGCCATGTATAGCCTTTTCTGATAGGCATTTCTTTAAAGAATTTTTCACCTTACCCTAATGCTTTTAACTCAAACTCACTTATTAGTTACAAAAAAGATATGATTTGAGTAAATATTGATTGAATACCTACCTTAATTTTTGTGAAGTTTCAAATTTATATCCAACTTTATCGCGTATCTAAACAGAGTACGCTATCCTGGCAGGTAAACAGATTGACAGCGTTCACCATCTGCAAGTAAAAAAAAATATTTTGGAATGCATTATGCATTCAGTCGATAGCTGCTGCATTGAATTAGTGATCAGGCTTGTGTATCACAATAGCTGACTTATCTAAATTGACTGGAACACTTGTTCCCTGAATCTCTATCACTCCAGAAAGATTTGTTGAAAAGAGATAAGACAAAATGTATTTGCCATTATTGTATAAACTGCTACGGTGTGATGAGGGTCCGAGAGAGAAGTTGTACTACTGGCTTCATGTGGTTTGACATCGGGAAGGTGCATCACGAGAAAGACTAATAGTATTATGCTGATACTGCCTTCTTTGTGGGAGAAAGAGAAGGTTAGAAAACCTCCGCTTATAAAACAGTACAATATCTTCTACCCTGCAGTATTCCCGTGCCTGTGCTATAGGTAGGTTCTTCCCATCTAGAAGTAGTACTATTAAATCTCTCATCAACAATCCTAAAAAGGCTGAGCTCACACAGATATCCTTTGTACTCTGCTGTCAGGCAAATCGATTTCTTTTCGTCTTCCAAGGTACACAACAGAAATCACTTCCAACGTGTGGGCAGTCAGGAAGTACAAACTGCCCGCACGCTTCCGGTAGTGTGCAGAACTTAGTTAAAAATGCCCTACAAGCTTTACCTTTGTTTTTTCCGTCGCATTCACTTTCCAATAGCAACATTTAGCTTCTTGTAACCTCTTTCTTTGAGAATTCTGCTGACCGTCGAAGCCAGTGGAACAATATCCCTAGTCTCCGAAAGCCTCGCTGCCGATTTCACATTGGAGCCCTCAACTTCCCAAACTATACTAAACTGGAAAACAGTTGTTCATTACCAAAATTCTGGAATCTCGAACCAGCCATGCGTGTCGTGTTTCTAAGACACGTGTACAGGATCCGAGTGCAGTTACTAACTTGCCTTCACCTGGCCAATTTAGTTACATCTTAAAAATTTGCTTTACTAGTGTCCGAAGATCTAATGGACTCGCTCCCGTGGCCATTATAGTGAGTTCACGAGCAGAAAGCGCACCCCTCCACTGTATACCAACCAACAACTGTGATTGTGCCGTCTGACTGAATCCATCTGTGAGAACTAGAAACGGTCATGACATTAGCCGAGGCCTATGCTCAATCTCTGCGGTGGATTAATTCCATCAAAAGCCATCAGTTTTACTGGATAAAGCAAAACGTTCAGATGTAGTCTAATGACTTCGACTGTCAAGTAGGAAAGCTGAGCCAAATGGAAAAGTACCTTGCATTTATCTACAGCGTCCCATGTCAATTAATCGACAAAGATGATCATCTCTTAAAGTTTTGTTCTGAAAACTACTTGTTTCTGACCAGCACTAGCGTGAAGCATAGGCATAGACTGTCGCACTTAGCGTCCAACGATGTCAATCTAATTGTAGACACAGATAGATCATATTGCTACGAAGCATCGTTGAAGAGGATCAGTGTAGGATTTTAGCTCTTTCTAGAATACTTCTTTGGACTACTTTCACGTGTTAGTACAGGCAAATGTGTCTGTTCCTTACTAGCCGCCGAAAGAGGTGACAGTGAAGACTATGTGTGCTCAACTGGAAGATAAGAAAGTCAAGCACTCATTCAGAGAAGAAATGTGTGAACGTCACAACAATCCTCATCCTGAAGAGACTTAGCGTGACATTAAATCTTCTATAGAAACAGTAGTAAAGTTAGTTGTTAGCCTACATCTAAAGGTTAACAAGGGTCATTAAATTTACGCAACTCCATCCAAACTTTCAAATTTAAGAGGGTGTTGTAAAGCTGTTCTGCAACCACTGTCAGTTTATTGATAGGGAATGAAGTAGTGAGATATATCGACCACTTGACTTACTTGTGGAGTTGTATCATCCCATACGGCCTGACTGGTGACAAAATCTCAGCCCGGATATAGAAGGTTCGTTTGACGTTTTCCAACTTGTGTCATCTGGGGTGTCGGTGAGATACCTAACTACCAGTTAAGGGACAATTATACTACCCTGTGGTTCGAAGTGGTTACAGGTTTTCAACCACAGATGTCTTCTCACCACTGCCGATGTATGGAATAATCACCATGTTAGCCATGTCGAGAATGAGTGAAGAGTAATGGGCACGATAAATTGATCGGTTGATGCAGTTTTGAACCGTCACCTTTTTGAGCGCCTTGGATATATGTTGCGAATGTTCGGTCGCAGCGTACCTCAATATGCATGCTAAATGATTTGGATTAGGTTGAAAAAAGGCTCAGGGTGGTCAGACCATGACATGCCACCAGTGTATGAACTCTTTGATTCTTGGTTTAAGCTATGTAGAGAGGTCTAGACTATTTGACTATGGTGTCCCCGAGATAATAAGAATCATCAGATGGAGGCTGTTAGTGAAATGACTGGAAATCAGTGGCAATAACTCAGATATATGTCAACTCTTTCATGTCTTCCAAAAGCTAAAAGATTTTTACTAGCCCTGTTTTTTCAATTCCTTGTCTTGCAATACACCTTTATATGATTTAATTTCACTCTTTCGCTACCCACTTGTTCTTTATATGCTACTGTGAATTGTGTTAACTTGCACCGACACAGTTGTACGCCAGATTCTACGTTGGTTTTTACTATCTGTCTGCCTTACTCACCCATTTATGTATAAGATTTTAAATTGATTCTAAGCTTTGCTGACAGTTATTTCAAGAGCAGTAAGGATAGTGAATGTATGCTCACTATCAATAACTCCTAACAAGTTTCATCAGAGATTAAGAACTTTTTTTTCTCGCTGAGATATACAGTTCTTAAGGTGGTTGAACTATTTGATTGGCTACCTGAGTATACTCCACAGTAGTTCATTGTGTTTGCCTATGAAAAGGACGCATACTTAGACTAAAATGTTATAATACATATATTTTTAAATTTTCACTGACATATGATGTTATTCTCAAGTTAATAATCATTTGGTTTGGCATAGAAATGTGGATAAAGAAGGCAAACTGTCCAGATGAACCGAATGATACAAAAAGTTATAGTAATTCAGTTGGTTTTGGCTAGAAGAGGAATCCAGGAAGCGGGTCTTGTCCTATTTGGAACTCGTCAGTTGAATGTACCTGCACTCAAGTGCAGAGTGATGTTGTTCCCACTGACACTCAAACCTCGTACCCATCCCTTCAATCGCCAAGAGTTAACCACTATGCCAATAGAGGTCGAATAATTCGATTCCATGAAAAAACAATGGAGAATTACAAGTATATCAATAAATAGTAATAACTACTACCCGTTGTACAAGTAGTGGCTATCGTTCCTCCGTGACATAGTGGTTAACTCCTTGGCGATTGAAGGGATGGGTACGAGGTTTGAGTGTCAGTGGGAACAACATCACTCTGCACTGGAGTGCAAGTACATCCAGCTAACGATTCCCAAATAGTATGAGACTCATGCCCTGGATTCCTGTGCAAGCCATAACCAACCAAATTACCATAACTGACATTCAGGCAGTATCGTGGCATTCGCATAGGAGCCCATATATCAATAGAGGTTGAACAAATCAATCCAATAAAACAATGGAAAGTTACAAGTATAACAATAAATGGTAACAAAGAATTATAGGTTATAATTTCTGTAGAGACAATATGTCTTCAATCATAGATAATCTGATAAAACTATTGTCGGAAACTAATCTTAGTTATATAGAAACATTCGAGTTTTATATTTCTCTGAGACTTTTGTATTGGATTTGAGTCTACTGAAATGTTGCATTACAAATCAACTCCGTCTTAGTATTGCTCTCCTTTCTGTTAAATTCTACTTCTTATCCTATTGACAAGTATGACAACTTAAGTCGGTTCGCTAGTGTTTAGGATTCGGTCTTGCTGACTTTACTTTTCTTGAAACATCTGTTTGTAACAGATGTTATTTCATCTTTAACCTGTTATATCCACTTATTGGTCCTTTTATCATTCTTTCAGTGCTGTTGTGTGTCCTTTGCAGATGTTAGTCAGCAAGCGAGATACATATTACTCACGGATAATGGCTAGCAGTGGAACCCAGGATGCATGTTTCATCCTGTTTAGGACTTTTCAGGTAGATGTACCTGCTTCTCAGTGAGCGATGTTGTTCCCACTGACTCAAGCTTCAAACGCCAGAGGGTTAACTTCCTCGCCAACGAGTCATGATAGCCACTTCTTGTGCGTCAGTTATAGCTTTGATTTTGTCATTTGGGTAACTCTCTGGCGTTTGAATCGACGGGTCGTGGGAATAACATCGCTCACTGGACGGTAGGTACATCCAGATAACGATTCTCGATTAGTATGAAATGCGCATCCTTGATTCTACTGCTAGCCACTATCTATCAATAATAAATGATTCAAACATAGGCAATATCAAAGCATCCTCCCAGAGACCAATCAATTCGGTTCAATCAACGTCGAGGTAATAGAAGTGACAACATTAGTAAGTGAGGTAGTTCAGCGGTACGAGATGGATATCTGTTCAATAATGTCCACAGAGGATATTTACATTCAAAGTAATACTTATGCTTCATTTCGTCAAACTAAAGCATGGTACGTGATTCATGAAGTCTTTGACTGTTGTGTGAGGCATATAGATAAATATACTAGTTGCCTGACCATGGTCCTAAGAACGGTAGGAACCAGTAGTTGATGAATCTTTATACTAAGGCTTCAAATCAATCATAATGATGCACTTGTGTATAGTTTGTCAATTTTGAAGTTGTAGACATTTTTGTCTACTTTCATCCACTTCTTCTTTACATGCTTGTTCGAAGTGGAGTAATGTAAACTGATGCTGGTATGCGCCAGGTTCTACGTTTGTTTGTTTGTCTGTCTATGTGTCTTGTTCTATAACAGACTCAATTATATTGGACGTTGTTATATCTGATTAGGTGTGTATATCTATTAAATGTATGAATGTATGAATGATTGCTTCTTTTCGAATACTGAATACACAATACAATACTATATTACCCTGCATTTATTGATAAACTATTTATGTATTCTACTTTTTAGCTGAACAACCACCTGCAGAAGACTCAGATGATGATGCTGAAGATGACGATGATGAGGTAATGATAAGTCTATGAGCGTTATTTATCGTGGTATACACCGAAAGGAGAGCAACTTAAGTTTATTTCAGAGAACTTTTAACTTGGTTGACATTTGACTAATACTGGTTATTACCTAGTTAATGATTTTGTATTAGTTGAGATTTTAAAGGTATTCAACAGGAGTACCAATTATTTCAGAAAAAGACACTCTTATTTACCACTTGTGATCTCCCATTGCCATACAGGTTGAAATGCTCGACCTCCGTTGATAGATGGGCTCGTATGCGGATGCCTTGATACTGCATGATTACTGATTACTCTTCTGTCTGTTTGATGGCTAAAAGTAGAATCCAAGATGCGCGTTTCGTCCTATTTGGGACTCGTCGTCTGGATGCACCTGCATTCCAGTGAGTGATGTTATTCCAACTGAGACTCAGACACAGTATCCAACGGGATGGGAGATTACAAGTGGAAAGCAAGTTTATGGTGTTGAAATAAGAATATATCAATATGTTTCGTAAGCACAGAAACTCGTCGGCTGATATAATTCCATTCATGCATGAACTAGAACGTGATGAAATGGACTTAGCTGCTTTGAGTAGCGAAGTCAGTTTTAGGCAAGATGGAGGTTTACATACTACTGCCTAGAAAGGTCTTCATACTCATATCGATGCTTAATCTCTAGGTTATTTCATCCTGTATCAGTTAAAACTGTTTACAGGGGACAATAACTCAACAACTAACTCTGTAAGTTGATTCAAAAACGAATAAGGATTTGTGAAACAAAAATACTACGAGTAATGAAGTTATGAACGCAGTGTTATCAATGAAACGGAGAAGGATTTTAAAACCGCTATAGTCTTACCATATAAGGAGGAGACAAGAGAATTCTTGTGTAGGATTCTCAATAAGGCTGAAGTTGGAGTGTCGTTTGAAGCCCCAAACTCACAGATAAAGTTTTTCAGCTAAAGAATCCTACTGAATCTATTAAACGAAACAATTTGATCTACTAAGTTCTCTATCATGACTATACGGTTAATTACATGGATCAAACTAGATGAATGAGGTCAACTAAGTTGATAGAACACGGAAACAGGTAAAGGTAGAGTGGAATTCTTTAACAAGACAAGAAATCTAGACAAGGGCTCAGTCCTAGCCATTTATACTGTTATACACAAATACCCAATAGAATGAGATAGAGTGACAGTTTTAAAGAATAACTTTTATGGATTGAGAGAGAGAGAGAGAGAGAGGAAGATGACTTGACACCTAAAGGTTTACTTATCAACAGCTGACATATGCGACGGGAATAACACAGCTTCGATTACGTATATTTGGAAAATCTTACTACCAATTAAATCAAGGAATGGAAAGCAGTTGAACTATGAGAATAAGGCAAGAAAGTTGTGCCATTACCATGATATGATTTTTTTTGAACAATAAATGCTACCTGAAACGCTATCAGTCAATAATACTGTTTCACTATGACATTTTTTGATGGTTATCGTCATGAATATGAACTTACTAGTTTCAGGGAATTCTACTCTATATCAATGATTGTACTGAGGCTACTGAACCTGGAACAGGTCAATATACTTGTCTATGCGAAGGATTTATTGTATGAAGGCCTATGAGATGCTACTTTAGTGCTCAGAATCCACAATGGTAATACTTCCAAACGACTTCCGATGTGAATACAAATAACACTTGTAAACATCACCTATGTTCGAATAGAATATTATAGATCTTGTCCTAACCGATATACGTCAAAAAACACAGTACAACAATATATAAAGCAAAAGACATATCATAGGATTTGAAAAAAAGTAATTCATTGGATATCCAGCGTATTTAAACAAAATTAGTTTCAATATTATTGTGATATTGGTACATAGAATATTCGCAGAGATTAAAATCCACTTAAGCATTCGTTAAATGCTATCACTGTTTTGTATCATAATATGTTTCTAGCCTAGACAAAGGTTTTAAGTATTTTCGTTGTGTCTTCTTGGATTACTTATCAACCTTTGACTCTGTTCCTAGACCACTCTTTTTAAATAAGCTTTCTATGGCTTATACTGAGCCATGGATCAAAAAGTGGCTGTATTTTTATTCATCTGAAAGGAAACAGTATATTGTCTATAAAGGGACGCAGTCCACTTCATTGCTTACTGAAGCCGGTGTACCTCAAGGTGCTGTACTTTTTCCTTTTCTGTTTTCTCTATTTATTAAGTATGCTGATGACCTAATGGTGTCTATTCCTGTCAACTCTCATTTAGATTCATTTGAAATAAATAGATTCTTATCTCTTATTTACTGGTAGTCTTTCTAAAATGGTCTGAAACTAAATCCTTCTCAATATCAGATTGGTAATTTTAGCCTCAGGTGTTAATTATCTTCGATTGAGTTTTACTTCTTACCTCTGTTTGTCATACCACAGCTTGTTGACTTGTAAAAAAAATCTTTCGTTTAACGTATTACATAAAGAAACTGAGACTCTTGGGTATAATTCACTGTCTACTTATACAGTTTATAAATTCCTGCATTTCACCTGTTCTTCTCTATTGTTCTCCATTGATCTTTCCTGGTCTACTAGAAAAGGACTTTGTTACACTGAGTAGCGCTTTGAAAGTCATCAGTATAATGAGTGCTGTGCTTCTGGTTCAACTGATTAACACTGTAGTTAATGAACATTTAAATTCTAGCAAGCAACTAGCTACATTAATTCTAACTGATATTGAGCTTTCACTTCATCCATAGCTGTCTCTTTTCTTGTATCTCCTCAGTGAGGACAAGAAGAAACTGCATAAAACTGTATACCCACACAGCCATGTACAAGAATTCGACTTCACTTTACCTAGCATGGATATTATATGAGGAAAAGTGTGTTAGAACAGAACTCACATATCAACTTTGTAACAGTTAACAATCTCATTTCAATAGTTTTAATTAACACTGGGAAATGTTCTCGTTATTAATATTCTTTACAATTACTAAAATTCTTACAATAAGACCATTCCAAATTGTACCAAACATTTTTCGGAAGAAAGTGAATATTACTATTATCATTATTAGTAGTAGTAGTATCATTATTAAATGACTAAATGCAGTGATTTTAATTCTTGAAGGTTTAACTAGGAATGACTGTGATGTCATCGGTATATATATAAAGTCACTTTATCACAAATCAATGAGAACTATGAGTGTAATACTCATAGGTTATATGATGAAGCTTCATCGACTCACATGACCTAAACACGTGTTGTGCCTCGACATACGTACTACGATAAGCTAGATTAGGTTTGAAGATGATTCAGAGTGAAGAGCCCAAGATATAGCGCCAGTCTAAGATGTCTTCGACTATTTCGTTTGAGCCGTTAGAGAGGTGTAAACTATGTGATTGAAGTCCCTCAAACAATGGAAATTAGTGGTTGAGGACTCCTTGTGAAAGAGCTGAAAATCAGTTTTTAATGTCTTCTAAAGCCTGAATGTTTTGACTAACCTTCATTTTTTATTCCTTCTCCTCTCATCTGCCTTTGTCTACTTTGATATCCACTTATTCTTTATGTACTAACGTAAAGTATGGTAACTTGAAAGACTACACTTGTGTGCCATATTCTACACTGATTTTATCTATCTATCGGTCTACATTCTGATGTAAGTTTTCTTTCGAACTAAATATTTATCTCTATCTAGGTACTTTAATTTAAAAATAAGGCCTTTGCATTTTTGAGATGAATGGGAATTTTTAATTTAGAAGCAGTAGTCATCATGGACTGACATCAGTTGGGAACCATTGGAAATCTGGGAGCACTGGACAGCTGTTTCGTCCTGGTATAGGACTCCTCAGCAGTGCGCATCCACGACCCGGCTAAGGATAGAACTCAGGACCTTCAGGTTTCACGGCGAACGCGTTAAACATTCTAAATTAAAAGTCCCAATTCATCTCAAAAATGCATTACTGTATAGCGCTCATTACTGACTTGCTTCCAGATGGATGTCAGGAAGTTCTAATGAGAAGCCGTGACCTGTGAGGTCAACCAGTCGGAATTGAAGTGGATGCTAACTGAAGACCTTGGGTGACAGTCACGCTATGTCGTGAATTGGCAGAAGTTGAAAATTGTGAACCACTGGAAACCGACCCAGTTGCTGATGGTTGATGCGTCCGCCGTGAAACCTGACGGTCCTGAGTTCGATCCGTATCCGGGTTTGGGTGCGTACTGCTGAGAGTCCCATACTAGGACGAAACAGCTGTCCATTGCTCCCAGACTGTCAGTGGTTCCGAACTGATGTCATTTCATGATGAATACTACTTCTAAGTAAGGTCTATCTTGTAAATAACAGAATGATTCTATGCCGTTCTAGCCCAAGTTAAGCAGGACAAGAAAGCTTATCCTTAAAGGCTAATGAAATATGAAGGGCACTTTGTAGCTCCTTCTCATAGAATTCGCCACGTACGACTGCATATGAGCTTATATATAAATCACTATAAGACATCGTAGACTCGAAAATAATTCTAAAGCGACGTAATCACAATTGTTTATATACAACCAAGACCATCCACCTGAACTACAAATATTCTCCACTACTTACAATGTTTCATTGTTGTAATACTAAGTTAATGAAGTAAAAAGATAATTAGTAAAGTGAATAACCGATCGCCTAATATTAACTGAATGTATCATACAACAGTTCACTCTGCCTTTTAGTCATCTACGGTTGCAAAAAATGGCCATTTAATATGATCGTCGTACCACTGACCACGTGCCTTGGAACCCATCATATGTGGAGAGTCAACATTACGCCTAAAGTGTTATGTAGGAGATGAGTCATTAGATGAAACTCTACTGATGAAGATTATTGACATAAGCAATATCATTGAATCACTCTATTATGCAATACTATGACTTTAATTCTATCTATAAAACATTTTAAACCCTAGTTTGACAAATATTTCAACTTGTCTCGAACTAAGTGAAGCGAATGGTTGGTCACAAATCTACTTGAAGGTATTCTAA